CAGAGACAAAACTGAACCAGACAGTGGAGACAGTGAGTGGGGACTCCCCTGGGGGAAGAAGACCTAGAGAGGCAGTGTCCTGCATGGGGTTCCCCATGGAGCTGAGGCAGAGTCCCAGCCAGTGCAGGGGGATAGAGCCAGGGATGACAAAGGAAGGTCTTCTCAGGGGGAGACATTAATTGGGCCCATCCAGATGCCAGCCAGGCCCTGCCCTCTACACCCAGTGTGGGACCAACTCTGCTGCCTGATACTTGCCGAGCTGCAGAGGATGACACTGGTTATACACCAAGACAGCCGAGTCCCACCTAGTGTTCTGTCACACAGTGGCTCCTGGGGGTCCATGCACTACTCCCCTCACACAGACTTAACACCTCACACTGGTTTAACACTGAGCCCTGACAGCTGCTGTCTGCCTCTCCTGCTCCCATGGGGTAACTCCACCCGGCTGGCTCCCAGGATGGGCAGGGCCTCAGGGAAACTGAGGTTCTGCCCTGCTCTCTCTCAGGGGCTGGCCTTGGAGTCCTGGCTGCCCAGCATGTCAGGAGTCAGCCCCCTACCCTCGCGCTTGTCTCAGCTTCTAGAAACAAGGACGCTTGGGTTCCTCACCGGGGTTCAGCTTGGAAAGGAAACCTCTAATTTGCCACTACTTGGCTCCCAGGGGTGTCCCAGTGGGACAGGGCCGATTTCTTTTCAGACCCTAGATTGGGAGGCAGCACTTCTTGGGTGTGAACAGGCAGGACTTAGTGACTTGTGTCTGACAGGAACCCGCCTACAGGACGGACTGCAGGGACTGGGTCTAGGGGCAGAGACAGGGCTAAGGGCCTGACGCAGGGTTCTGCTCTGTCCTACCTACCCGAGGGTTGTGGTTCCCCTTAGGCCTTCATCGTTCTTGGTGTGAAGCAGGACACCTTCAGGGAGGGAAGAAGACCCAGGGCGAGGGGTGTTTCCCACAGGGGCACTTGGGAAGAAGGAGGGCCCAGGGCTGGGGTTTGAGGGATCCAGGATCAGGGGGACAGAACTGTGGGAGGAAGGGAAGGAATTCAGACTGGGGGAGGCAAGTGAAGACATGGGTTGGCTCTGGTGAGGACCCTTGACTCTGGGGCAGAGGCAAGGATGCCTGGCTGGAGGGGCTTAGGGAGGACACCCTAGGTTGAGGTGAAGGATGAAGCCCAAGGTTGGGAGGCACAGGGGAGCATGGTGAGGGCACCTGGAGAGGAGTGGACAAGGGGAGGGCTGCCCGATCTCCCACCCAGCCTTGGAAGAGTTTGCTCCTTCCAGCAGGCCCCTCCTAGTGAGTCTGCCTAGAAGGCAGGGAATCCTCTTTATGAGCTCTGGACCCACCTGCGGGCCTGCCCTTTGCATTGCAGCCTCCTTGGCAAGCAGAAGGCAGTGCACCCTGGTTGGAGGCTCTGGAGGGACCTGAGATTGCCATCAATGTCAGGCCACCCCTATCTCCTTCCCATACCCCAGGGCATGCAAAGTAAGGGGGTGCACACTGTAAGGAAGGACCTCAGGAAGGGGCCCCCTCACCCTCTCCTGGGATTCAAGCAAACCCTTCCCACGTGTCTTCCCCTACCCCCAGGAGTGCCAGCTCCCCTGGCCTGGCGTGGGAAGAGAGCTTGGTCATCTGGCCATGCCCCAGCTCATCCACTTGGTCGCGCGTCACCACCTGGGCCCCTCCTGCACCTAACATTTCCATCAGAAGCCGGGCATGAAAAAGCCTATGTTCCCGCATGCGGGTGGGTGCGCCTCGCTGGGCCGGGACTCAGCATTGCCCAGTCGCACCCCAGCCCCTCCTCGCGCACCCCTGTCCTTAGTGGAAAAGACCCACGGCTGCGGAGTGCACGGAAGGCCTTCAACCAGAGCTACAACCTGCTCGCGAACAGCTGCCAGCACAGCCTGGCCCGGCCCTGCACAGCCCCACCGTCAGCTCCAACAGGGCTTCCTCAGTCTGCGACTGCGAAGGCGAAAGTGCACAGGCTTCAGTTTTCCAGCTTTATTGGAAACTAGGGCTGCGCGTGGTAGACAAAACACTGGACACCCGTAGGGCCTAGGCCGAGGGAGGGGCAGGGCTTGAGGGGAGGGCTTTTGGCCAAAGATGTGGGTGAGTCGCAAGGGTGGACCAAAATTCTAGGGCTCTAGCGGGCTGAGACCAATCCACTGGGAGGGGGACTCCAAGAGAGGAGAGGGAGAGATCTAAGACAAAGAGGTGTAACCTGAGGGTCTGGCTCAGTGGAAGGTCTCCACCTCTACCACGGTCCAGTCACCCTGCGGAGAGGCCACGTCGTCCGGGGAGAAGCTGGTGACCGACGTGATGCTGGCGCGGGACTCGTCCAGGGGAGACAACAGTTCGGCCCAGCGGCCTAGTTCGGCGTCGCTGAGCGCAGTGCGGGCGCCCCCCGTGCTGCCGC